TTCTCATATTACATCGCTTCATGATGTTGTGATTTGTTATCATTTGGTTGTTTTTACTAACACATTGATATTTTATATAGGATTTCATGTTTATCGCTCCTAATTTTTAAAGAAATCGATGATTTGTGCGGAGCAAAAACTCCATAATTATTTTTAGCTCAATCTATTTCTAAATAAACTGCGTGCTTAGTGCACCTTCACAAAAACCAAAGGTAGCGTACTACTCCCATTTAGGTTCGTTCCAATAATGTGGATCGTCAATCTTATCAAAAAACAGTATGCTCTTAAGAAGATAGACACCATTCAGATGGATATGTTGTTGAAGCAGGTAAGCTACATCTTCTTGCTAAACACATCTACACTACATATAATTGCAAACGCATTTTTATATCTATTGATTTTTAGGTGTATAGCTACCGAGATGGCTTTGCTATGTTGTTCGTTTACGACTGGGTAAAAATTCCACTTGTGTATACACAGGTTTGTAAAGAAAAATCCCTAATTAGAGAACTACCGCAGACATTCTCATTCAGGTAGTGGCCATTGCAACTTATGGATATTTCTTTATTTGCCTGATTGGTCGACAACCAAAACTGGATCAAAAGTCAATGGAAACTGTAAGAGCAAGTGTATTTGATCAACATTCAAAAGAAAGGCCATTTACAGGAGATCACTATCCTATTCCCCATTTTCACGACTTTTCAAATGCTATTTTATCTTGGTTGGCTGAAGGTTGGACAGTTCCTAATGAATCCCTTTGGAGAAGATGACGATGACTTCGGTTAGTAGGGCAACGTTGTACGACTTATCAAATAGGCATTACATCACGAAAATGTTTTAGTCAGAAAGTTAGTTTAGCTCTAAAAATGAGGTGGAAATTTGCATATGTACAAAACACGATAAGACCACCAGATTCAAATTGCGAAAACCGTCTATTCCTAAAGAAAAGTAGGAGAGTAAATGAGAGGTCCAGAACCTTATTCTATAATTTCCTCTAGCGTTAGGAGCATTAGTCGAAAACGCTTACAGATTGCTCTGACGAGATGTAAGGTGAATGCACCCTCCACAAAAGAAAAGCATGACCGCATTGCAACAAGATAGTATTCGTCATCCCCGCCGTCACACTCGCCACCCTGCTTCCATTCCCTAGCTGCATGTACTCTTCGCCATCAACCTGCGTACATATATGGCACAAGCTGTAGAGAGTTCTTGTAATGTAACTGGACTTTAGTGAAGAGAGCAGACTTGTGGCGTACTATCGCCGCATTTCAACTTGCTCACATTTCCAAATTTTGTGACCGCAGAGATCATCGGTATTGCGCATGAGATCACCCATCACCCTTGACGTAATTCTACAGTGCGCTTCAATGTTACACTTCATATTCTCTGACGGTTATTATACATTGTAACCTTAACACTGCTTAACAAGTTCCGCGAATTTATATTTTTTGCCACTTTCAGAAAAGTCTATACTGTTAGAGGTCAGCGTTGCATGTCGCCGATATTACTGAGCGTGCTACTTTTAGAGCTGAACTATGTGTTGGATCGTAACACTTGTATAGCACATATGATGGCGACTGAAATAGCAGACCAATGTCCAGATGTTGGTCCTCCTATGGAGAAGCTCATACCGCATACAAGAGCTTCCTTCAAGATACAGGTGAAATAACATATACAGGGCTTCATATATGTGGCCACGGTTCGATGGCTAATACCTTACTACTTAAGAATGCTTGGGCCTCGGTTCACTTGGAGGACTAGCTCAAACCTAAATTTCCATTTATCACTGAACTTTGTATTTCTCTCCATTGCGGTAGTATTACGGACTGAAACTGCGCGTGCCCCCACAAGCATAAAGCACTAATATAACTATCAAATGGTTATCATTTAAACTCAGCGTACCAGAAATTCCCACAAGTTTTCAACATTGCTATAACGATTTACTAAACCCCTTGAGTCGCGTAATGGAAAAGTATAAAATCCTTACTAGAGGAGTTCATGTTTAAGCCAACTCTTCAAAATTAGCTATTGGAACCTAGGAAAAATTCGGAAATAAAAGAGCAGACCAAACAGTGGTCATATTTTGTAAAAGCATGTACATTCCTTTTACCAGTGAACGTTATAATAGGATGTCATTCCCAAATCTCACTTGGCGTCGTTCAAACTAACCGAAAATGAAATGAAATTGGTAAAGCCGGAAGACATAGAGGAAAGTGAAAGACTACTGGAGCAGAGGAAAGGCCAAAGGCAAAGGCTTGGTGGTCTGATCAGAGCCATAGATGAGGCGAAAAAGTGAGCGATTTTGTATTGTTGCTTATTCTCTGATCAACGCTCCAAACAAAAATACTATTTCAGGAATTCCAAGAAGAATGGGGACATTGAAGAAGAGTAATTGTGATTGACTTATTGCTCTAATAAAGTCTTAATGTTTATAGTAATGCATGAAAATGAAATGAAAAATTAATCATAAGTAAGGGATCATAGTTGCCTAATAAGATAGAACACTGCTCTGATTCACAAAAAAAAAA